GCATCAGATCAGCGTCCACACCAGCTATGGAGTGGTTACCAGCTGTGTGTTGGGCAGGTCCCTTCCTCTCTCCTCCGGAGCCTGTTTCCTCTTTGTTGTTGTTGCTGCTGTTGTTGTCGTTGTAGGATCTCATGCTTTTGCCCACACTGGAGTGCAGTGGCATGATCTCGGCTCACTGGAACCTCCCTCTCCCAGGTTCAAGCGATTCTCTTGCTTCAGCCTCCCGAGTAGCCAGGACTACAGGCACATGCCACCACGCCCGGCCATTTTTTTTTTTTTTTTTTTTGTATTTTTAATGGAGATGAAGTTTCACCATGTTGGCCAGGCTGGTCTCAAACATTTGTCCGCAGGTGATCCACCTGCCTCAGCCTCCCAAAGTGCTGGGATTAAAGGCGTGAGCCACCATGCCCAGCCTTGTTTCCTCATTTGTGAAACAGAACCACAGGAATGACAGCCTCAGAGGTTGTTGTGGGAATTAAATTATGTCCAGTCATGTTTGGCAAAGAGGAAGAGCCCAGTAAATGTCCTTGGCGTCATGATTTGGTGTCTAACTCCACCATCGTCAAACAGCTGCCTGGGATCCTGTGATTCAGGCCTCTGAGATCACATCCTGGAATTTACGTATGATACATGGATCTGAGAAGTGTAGATCAAAGGTTATCTGGGTTCCACAAACGAGGAAGTAGGACGATCTCACCAATTTGGGATGACAGGCCATTCACACCTCATGAAACTTTCTTTGGATCTTCAAGCAGCCTGTCACCCAGGGGCCCTTCTACTTCTGGTCCCCACGCTGAGCAATGATGGAATAATGGAATAAGAAGCTTCTAGTAGCATGGCTTAGGGAAACAACTTTTCAGAGGAACTAAAAAGGGGTCAGCCTAGGCAACATAGCAAGACCTCATCTTTACTAAAAATAAAAGAAAAAATTAGCCAGGTGTGCTGGCACACTGTACCCCAGCTACTCAAAAGGCTGGGGCGGGAGGATTGCTTGAGCTCTGGAGGCAGAGGTTGCAGAGAGCTATGATGGAGCCACTACACTCCAGCCTAGGTGACAGAGAGAGACCGTGACTCAAAAAAGAAAAAAAAAAAGAGGAGCCTTAGAAATTCCAGTTCTTTTTTCCATTGTTTTGTAGCAGAGAAAGAGGTTTAATTGTAGGGCCGCCAAACAAGGACATGAGAGGAAACCTCCAATCTGTCTCCCCGAGAAGCTTGAGAATTGATAATTCCTTTTTTTTTTTTTTTTTTTTTTGAGGTGGAGTCTTGCTCTGTCACCCAGGTTGGAGTGCAGTGGCATGATCTTGGCTCACTGCAACCTCTGTCTCTTGGGTTCAAGCAACTCTCCTGGCTCAGCCTCCCGAGTAGCTGGGATTACAGGTGTGCACCACCATGCCCGGCTAATTTTTGTATTTTTAGTAGAGATGGGGTTTCACCATGTTGGCCAGGCTAGTCTTGAACTCCTAATCTCGGGTGATCTGCCCACCTTGGCCTCCCAAAGTGGTGGGATTACAGGTGTGAGCCACCAGGCTCAGCCAATAATTCCCATTTCTTAATCAGGCTACCTGGATGGTGGAAGCATGGGCTCAGGTCTTGGCTGGGGTCTCTAGCTGTGTGACCTTGGACAAGTTTCTTCACCTTTCTGAACCTCAGTTTCATCATCTATAAAATGGGAATTTGACTGTCTGCTACCTGAGCTGATGCTGTTTAGCAACTGAAATAGAAACCAAACCTGAAGCTCTGGCTGCCTGTGCTGAGATTTGAGATTAACCAGGGCAAAGGGCTGATGAGGTGGAGGAACCAAGGGTAGAGGAATTTATGGCAGCCCAGGGTTTATGGTTTTGATATGGGTTTATTAAGCACAATTTAGACTGAAATAGTCTCTGCTGGTCCCACCCCCTCGTGTCCCCGATGGCAGCAGCGTGAACAAGGCCTCCGTTGCAACGCTGTTGAAAACATTTCCTGGTGCTGACTAGTGGAGGGAAGGCACAGGGGAAGGCGGGAGCGGCCCTGGGGATCAGGTAGACAGCGAATGGGTGCTCGGAAGGTTGGAGAGTTTAATGGTTAACCTCTTGCTAGAAAGGGGCGCATGAAGAGTTCACTTGTACTCCTCATGCAACGGGAGCTCTCACAGTTACTGTGCTCTCATTCCATTCAATCCTGACGTCTTTCCTGGAGGGAGATACCATTCCCACTTTACAGATGAGGCTCGGAGTGGTGGAGTGACCTGCCCAAGGTTACGCTGATCAGCAAGACGTGTGCTTCCCAGACCAGAACTTTTGTCCCCTCCCTTAAGGAAGAGCTGAAAGGATCACGCTGCTCTACCCTCATCCCCAATGAGGATGTCCCCATATGTTGGCATCCCACGGTCCAGCCATCACCGAATGCTGTGGTGTGCTGGTGAATGTTAACAACGGGCTCTCCAGGAACAAAAGCCCTGATTTGTAGAGTTTGCTAGTCCTTGTGGTGTAAACACTCCAGCAATAACCAATTTCAAGCTATCAGTGTGGCACTGGCAAACATGGAATTGGGAAGAGAAGCTAATAGTCAGTTCTCACAAGCCAGCTCCAGCACAACCCCGAGTGAATGGAACGCTGTGGTCTGTGGTGGCCGAGACACAAGGCCGCCCTCCTATAATAGTTTAGCCATGGAGAGAACCCCAGTGCCTACAGATCTGGCTGGAGATTCTCAAGCACATCCCTTGCTTTTATTCTTTCTACTTATTATTTAAGTTTTGAAACAGGGTCTTGCTCTTTCACCCAGACCGTGGTGCAGTGTTGCATTCATAGCCCACTGCATCCTTGAACTCCTGGGCTGAAGCAATCCTCCCTCCTCAGCCTTCAGAGTAGCTGGTACTATAGGCACACACCACCACACCTGGCTAATTTTTAAATTTTTTTGTAGAGATGGGGTCTCCTTATATTGCTCTGGCTGGTCTCGAACTCCTGAGGCTCAAGTGATCCTCCTGCCTCAGCCTCCCAAAGTGCTGGGATTACAGATATGAGCCACTGTGCACAGCCTTGTTCTAGAAAAAAGCAAAAAACAAAACAAAACAAAAAAACCACTTGCTTTTATGGAATGTCCCCACAGCTACTCATCTCCCATTGCTGGCAGATTGAGGTGACCCAGAAAAGGGCTCTGTCTTGGACCTTGGTGGAGGATGACAGACCCTTGGACCCTCTTGCCATTCTTCCAGATCTTTCCATTACACTCTCCCTCATCACTCCCCTCTTCAAGAGGGGGGATCAACTTTCACTCTCTCCATATACTAAGTACTTGGAATCAAGAGACCAGGGTTAGATGTCCACCTCTGCCACCCAAGAGAAATCACTTCCGCAAGTCTCAGTCTCCTCATCTGGAAAGCGGGAGTAATCATGCCTAACTGCTTACCTCGTGATGTGAAGACTCAGAAATTATAATGGATACAAAAACATTCTGCACATCACAAAGAACTATAAAACTATTCTCATTCTTCCTTAAAAAAAAATTTTTTTTAGCCCCCAAGTAGAACCAGAAGATTCAGTCTTATTTCTGACACCTAAAAGAAAATAGACTCATCCGAGGACTTAGAAAACATATGCGCCATTTATTTTGTTTTATAAACTTTTGTTAAAACACACAAGAGTACGAAATGTTTCTTTGCCCCATCAGGCAGCAGTGATAGGGGCTCAGGGGTCAGCGCAGGACCTAATGACATTCACACCCACATAAGATGTGGGTCGTTCTGATGGGACCCAGCCCACTTTGGTAATTGCTTGATGTAAATTTCACAATTCATCTTAATCAGGGCAGATCACAGAAAAATTTGGCAAATGTAATTGGCTTGGTAACGACAAACGATAGAAGAGCGTTCATTTCCGACCCTCTCCTCTCCTCTGTCCGCTCTCAGGGGAGCCATGCGGATTTTAGAAGCTCCTAAGAACTGCCTGAAGATCGGGGTGTCTTGGTGGGGGAACCGTTGTGCCCATGCTTGTCCCCCCAGCAACCCTCTGTTAGTCCATCAGATTTTATGTTTTAGGACCACAACTCAAGTGGCCAAAAAAAAAAAAAGAGAGAGAGAGATTTTCTAATATGTCAGCTTAGAGTCAAAAAAGTAAACTTTGTTTTGTGTTTCTCACATTACAATAAAGTTATGAAAGTGGAATGGGTTTCTTCTCCAGAAAGGGGTAGATTCCCAGCAGAGAACTGACCCCCTGCTCCAAAAGATTGTTCCCATGAAGGGCCACTGTTGCCCTCTGCACGCCATGGGACATTCTTATCTCAACCTTGCTCCCATGACAGAGGCCTGAGCAATGCTGGAGGGAGGAGGTGGAGGAACAGAGTGGGAATGACCACAATGCCCGGAAATGGTTCCAGCCTCCCTGCCTTACCGCAGACCAGGCTGAGCTGTCTGGAGGAGATTTCAGGGGCACTTGAATGAGGTGGTGGAGGAAGGCTTGGGAGCTTTGAGCGGGGCGCAGTCTCTCCTGGGACTGGGGGTTTGGCTGACTGCCGTAGGGATGTGGTGATTCCTCTCTGACACATCACCCCAATACTTCTCCATGCCTCTTTCTCATAAAAAACAATCACTAATGGTGGGATTTCTGGGCACTGGGGCACTGCCTCCATCCACTCAGAGGGGTCAGTGTTGAGCGGGGGGCAGGAGTCAGTCCAACAGTTTCCCTCCTACCTAATCACACCTCCAGCCCCAGGACACATCCCTTTTGTTCACACTGGTCAGTGGCATTTTCCAGAATGTCCCCAAAGCCACCAAGATTCCACATGGATGACATGCTGGACGCTCCATCCTAGGGTCAAACGTTTCCAGAATACACCCGGAGTGACGATCTCCAGAATAGGCCTCAAACCCAGGCCTGCTTAGCCCTCCCGTGCCCCCACACTGCACACACTGTCCCACTCCCATGCCAACAGGCCAGATGAGCCTGACTCTCAGGAAACAGACCCCTGCCACCCCTCCCCGAGACTTGGGGAGTGAAGAGAGAAAAGCTCTCAAGAGTTATGAATTCTCCTACATATTTATCAGCAAACAGGATACTCGACCCTAAGTGAATTTTAGTGCAGCCTCAGGCCAGTCTTGGTCCTGGGAGTGGGCGGAGTTCCCAGAAGAACGAGTCCGGTTTCTGAGGCTGGGGAAGGGAGCCAGAAGCCCCCCAACTTGATCACAGTGAGAACAAAGGCAGCCTTTGGAGAAGTTATTCAGCCACTCTCGTTAAGAGTTCCTGTTCTGATCCAGGGAGACCTGGGTTCAAGTCCTGACTCAGCCACTTCCTAGTTGTGTGAGTTTCAGAAAAAAAAATCACTACACCTCTTAGAACGCAATTTCATCTTCTGTAACAATCTCTAGGTTAGGAGGGGCGGGTAAGTGTGGGGAGGGAGGAGGAGAATAAAAAAACAAAAACAATCTCTAGGTTAATAGGGAGGAAGGGAGGATTAAATGAGATGATGCATATCAGACGCCTTAAGACAGTGCCTGGGAGTAAGGAAGAGCTTGAGACAGGCCCTGGGAGATTATTCCTCCTGGATGTCACTCTGATGTGAGAGTTTACCCATCTTGTCCTCTCCAGCCCCAAGCCTCATTACTCTTTTACATTACATCATCCACCCCACCTGACCTCCCAGCTCCCAGCCTCCCATCCTCTACAGAACTGCTGTGTTCATTTTCTGGAAGCCCAGCTCCCTGCATACCCCTTGCCGCTGATCAGGACCTCAGCCTGGTATTCCAGACCCTATGCTCTCCAGCAGGCCTTCTCTCTCTTCGTCATCCCTCTCCCACACCATTCTTCCTTAATTCTTGCTAGATTCTTCCTATCACAAGGCCTTGGCTCAGGCTGTTCTTTGGAATGTCCTGTCTCACCTGCTTTACCAGCCAGAAGTCTACCCTTTCTCAAAGGCCTAGTGGATGGTCTGCCTCCTTCTGATGCTTTTCCTCTCCACTCCAAGTTCCTGTTGCAGTTGCCAACCTGGGCTTGTTTTCTCGGGTTGAAGGTCTGCAGAGATCCTCACCCCAAATACCCACCCAAGTCCCTGAAGAAGGAGGGTGCGGTGGGGCTGGAGGAGAAAGGGGTCTTCCCTCACCACAGCCTTCTAGACCCTGCCTGGCCCCAGTCAGTGCTTACAACATGCTCCCAGAATGACTGGGGGAATCGTTTTCAAGGCCTCCTTGGCCTCTGGAGAGGTGGTGTTGGAGAAGATGGGATGGCTGAGCAAGGCGACAGCACAGGGAAACGGGCGTTTGAGGTGGGGGCAGCAGCAGAAGGAGGAGCGAATGGATGAAGGTGAAGGTGAAGGCAGTGGCTTCAACATGAGAAAAGTTGTCCAAGGCAGTAGAGGACTTTCCAGTGGCGTCTTCCCAAGTCAAAGTCTCGTTATCCAGAGCAGGGTGTCAAGGGTGGCAGTGGGATGTGGCCCTTAGGTCATGTTCTCGGGCCCTTTATCCTTCCCATTCCTGCTCTGGGACTGGTCCTGGCGTCACGTCTTCCTTTGCCGTGACCACGTGATCACCAGGCGTTCTCTGAGGGGGCTGGGGGGAGCCAGCGGAGCCCCCAAGCCCCAGCGGCTTGCTAGATAACTTCCTGCTTGGTGATGGTCGGCTGGGGGATGGCAGAGAGGGGCTTGACGATTGTGGCGACGGCTCCTGGCAGGAGCTTGTAGGGCTCAGACCCTGAGCCACCTGGCGGTGAGGGCTGTGGGGTCTCAGGGGTGGCTGGAAGGACAAACAGACAGATAGGGGCTGCTCAAAATTCCAGCCTTTGTGGGAGCAAATGAAGAGCCCTGGGAAAGTTCTCCCCCCAACCCCCAGCCCGCCCCGCCTTGACTTAATTTCTTCCTCTATAAAATGAGAGAATTAATTAAACCAGATAATCCCTAAGGTCTTTTATGACTCAACCTTCTGTGAGTCCCAGATCATAAAGCCTAAGTTTTATGAGGTCTGGAAGGTCCCACCACCCATCTCCTCCATCATTTATTTGATATGCAGACTTGAACTGCTTCTCTGAAACCAAGGCCCAGGCCTGGCTGTTACCAACGGCAATGGGATGGGTGACAGGGATATTCTTTCCTGGGAGAAGGAGCCAGCAGCTGATGAGACCCAGGGCCAACTGGCTCAAAAAATACCACTTCTTGGATATTTAGGAGATGAGTAATAGAAACTGGCCTCACTCTCATGGCAGGTTTGGAGAGCAAATTTGACCCAATTGGCAATCTTTGTTCAATGGACAACTTTCTCCAAGAACAACGTCAGTAAAATATCATCTCATCTCAGTGGATCACTTCATCCCATTGATAATCTTATTCTTTGAAGAGCCTTGCCCAATGACAAGTTTACACTTTGGAGGTTTCAGAGGATGGTCTAGTCCAGCAGACATCCTGACCCAATGGATAGTCTCATCTAATTGTCTAATGGATAGCCTTACCCAATTGAGCAGCCTTACGTCAATGACCACTTTTACCTAATGGACAATGTCAACTAATGGGATTCTCACCCAAGAACATCTTCACCTAGTAGGTTACCTCATCCAGTGGATTGCCTCATCCCAACAATGGCTTCATTCAGTAAAGGCTGTCAGTCACCTTACTGAATAAACAGCCTCAACAAATGGACAACCTTGCCCTTTATTCCCTACCCTGGAACCCAGAAAACTGTTGCATCCTGGTTCTACCTTCTAGACTCCACCTTCTCCTGCTTCCTCTCTTAAGCCCCATCCTCACCCTTTGCAAGGTAGAGCCCCAGAGGTTGCCCACCTGCCTGCCCCCTGGGTCGGGGCCACTCACACATCTGTCCATTGCTGAGGTGAGTGGGCATTGTGTTGGCAACGATGACATTGGTTCCCATGTGTTCCTGCATCAGGTGAGGGTGCAGGGGGTGGTGGGCATGGGGTGCATCGCTGGAGGACCCTGCAGGAAGAGAAGATCGATCAGGATGAAGAGTCGGGGATGCAGACCTCAGGCCTTGGGACGCCATCTTCCTCAGGTATGACCAATCAACCTGCCCATCCAATATTGGCAGTGCCTGTTGGGTACCTATTCCTGTGTTAGTAAACTAGGGTGTACCATTCCCATCCGTAGGCTTCATGAGGGTGTTAAGAAGACCCAAAAAAAACCCCAATAGAACAGAAGTGAGTTGAAAGAAACAAGGTGCCTATAAGGAAGCTCTGAGATCAAGTAAATGTTCTAATGAGTAGCGTATTGGATGTAATCAATGGCTCTCAAGGCTCCTTGGTGTGCAAGTCCTTCAACCATTTGGTCCCGCCTCACCTTACAGCCTCATCCCCCACATCTCTGCTGCAGCCAGCTGACCTACTTATAGCATCTATGTGTCCCCTGTGTTTTCCTATCTCTATGCTTCTGCTCATGTTGTTGCTTCCGTCAGAGATATTTTTTCCACCCCAAACCCGCTCCACGTCCATAAGCCCAAATCCCAGCTCATATATTTCCTCTCTTTAGAAGCCTCTCCCGATTCTCCTCATTCTCCTTCCTTGGATTTCTCATAGTAATTTATCTGTAACACAACTTTTAGGAACAACCACTTCTTCTGTCTATGAGCATTACAATTTCAGATGTATTTTTCTTCTTTGAGAGCCTAGCAGATTGTCTGGAACACAGTAACCGCTTTAAACATGTGTCAGGGAGTAAAAATACCACATGGGGTATGGTTTAATAATAGCCTATGGTGAGTAATATGACAATGATGGAATTTCAATGCTTGCAAGAGATCTCTACAGTACATCGATCTCAGTGATAAATAACGACTGTTGATAATTAACAATTATCATGTGCCAGGTACTGTTGTATAGCACTTTTCATGTTTTACATAATTTAATCCTTACAAAAATCCTATAGAACAGATACTATTATTAGCCCATTATACAGATGAGACAACTAAGCCCAGAGCTCTTAACTATTTGGCAACAGACCACAGGCTCCTGATCCTGATCTCAGTGACACCTGATTCATGATAACCCCATGTTCACAGGGTCAAAGTGAGAATGAAATGAGCTATCACACAACAGTGGTTCCCAAATGGGGATGATTTTGGCCCATCAGGAGACATTTGACTATATCCGAAGACATTTTTGGTTGTCCCTACTGGAGAAGTGCTACTGGCACCTTATGGGTACAAGACACAGATGCAGCCAAACAACGCACAGGACAGCCCCGCACAACAAAGAATCATCCAGTTCCAAGTATCAATAGTACCAGTATTGAGAAACCTTGCCCTCACTGAAGCACCTCCAAAATCTCAAATTCAACATCCCTACTTTGACTTCACCTCGTGTCCTTCCAGCTCCCTTAATCTAGTACCATCACTGCAAAACTTCTTCAGCCCTACTGAGGCTGTCAATTCACTGACACTGTCTTTTCACTATCACCCCATCCTTTTGTTGTTGTTGTTGAGACAGAGTCTTGCTCTGTCACACACGCTGGAGTGCAATGTCACGATCTCGGCTCACTGCAATCTCCGTCTCCCAGGTTCAAGCGATTGTCCTGCCTCAGCCTCCCAAGTAGCTGGGATTACAGGCGCATGCCACCACGTCTGGCTAATTTTTTTTGTATTTTTAGTAGAGATGGTGTTTTGCTGTGTTGGCCAGGTTGGTCTTGAGCTCCTAGCCTCAAGAGATCCACCTGCCTCGGCCTCCCAAAGTGCTAGGATTACAGGTGTGAGCCACCGCGCCCAGACTCCATCTTTCTCTTTGAGTGCAGCCCAGACTCCATGACCTATCATTCTAATCACTCCCTTGCAGTCATCCTAACTCCTTCATACTCCCCTTCACAGTCAAACCATTTCAAAGGGTTATCTACTCTATCTCCACCTTCCCACTTGCTCTCTTTGGAGCGCTCTCCAATCTGGTTTCCACTCTCCCAGCTCTCTGAAACTGCTTTCAACACAATTGCCAAGAGCCTCCAGCTGCCAATCCAATGGACTCTTTCCTCTCTCTTCCCCGCCTCCCTTCACCTCTCCATTCCTCCCTCCTTCTTTCTGTCTCTCTGCAGAGTGTAACACCATTAAACACTCTGTCCTTCAAACACGCTCTTCTCTTGGATTCTGGAATTGCCCTGATTTTCTCCTACCCCTCCGGCTAGTCTTCTTCCCTTCCCTCCATGGCTCCATCTTCCCCCAATTCCACGGAGCTGTCTTTAATCTTGTGCTTGAGCAGCAGACTCATACATTCAACTGCCTCCTTGGTAACTTGGATTTGTAATAGTCATCTCATGCTTAATGAAAGTCCACAATGAGGCTGGGCATGGTGGCTCACACCTGTAATCCCAGCACATTGAGAGGCCAAGTCAGAAGGATTACTTAAGACCAGGAGTTTAAGACCAGCCTGGGCAACATAGTGAGACATCGTCTCTATAAAAAATAAAAATGAAAAATTAGCTGGGTATGGTGGCACACACCTGTAGTCCCAGCTACTGGAAAGGCTGGAGGATCTCCTGAGCCTGGAAGGTTGAGGCTGCAGTGAGCTATGACTGCGCCACTGCACTCCAGCTTGGGTGACAGAGAGAGATCTCGTTTCAAAAAAAAAAAAAGGAAAAAGGAAAAAAAGAGAGTCCACAATGGATCACTGAGGTCATCCCTCACGACCACCCCCAGACCCCAGCATCAAGTTGTTTATTCTGTCCTCCTCATCTCAGTAAACTACTCCATCATCATTTCTGCTATTCAAAGCAAAAATTTAGACTCTGTCCTTGACTCTTCCTCTTCCTGTCACTCCCTATATCTAATCGGTCAGCAAATCCTGTGGGTGTGGGCTCTTCCCCCAAATAGATGATCCGGTTTATCTTCACTGCTCCATTTCCATGGTCCAAGCCTTCATCATCTGTCACATGATTGGAGACAGTGACATTCTCAGGAATCTCTGCAATTTACTTTGTACCCAACAGTCAGAGTGGTTTGTTTAAAGCATTAGTCTGGGCTAGGCATGGTGGCTCACACCTGTCATTCTAGCACTTTGGGAGACCGAGGTGGGCAATCACTTGAGGTCAGGAGTTTGAGACCATCTTGGCCCATAGGGTGAAACCCCATCTCTGCTAAAAATATTAAAAAATGAGCTGGGCGTGGTGGCGGGTGCCTGTAATCAGAGCTACTTGGGAGGCTGTGCAGGAGAATTGCTTGAACTCGGGAGGTGGAGGTTGCAGTGAGCCGAGGTCCTGCCACTGCACTCCAGCCTGGATGATAGAGGGAAATTTTGTCTCAAAGAATAAAAATAATTAGTCTGGTTTTCACTCTCCTTACAATAGTTGCAATGAGAATAAAATCCAAATTTCTGACAAGGTTTACAAAGCCATATGTTTATGATTTGGTTTCTGCCCAATCTCCATCTTCACCTTCTCCATCTCCTCCATCTCACAACCTTGCCCTTCTTTCTCAAACACACAACTCTCTCCTCTCCGGGGCCCTTGAAGTAGTTCCTTCTTCTTGGAATATTCCTCTCTTGTCTTTTTTTTTTTTTTTTTTCCGATGGAGTCTCGCTGTGTCACCCAGGCTGGAGTGCAATGGCGTGATCTCGGCTCACTGCAAACTCCACCTCCCAGGTTCACGCCATTCTCCTGCCTCAGCCTCCCGAGTAGCTGGGACCACAGGCGCCCGCCAGCACGCCCAGCTGATGTTTTGTATTTTTAGTAGAGACAGGGTTTCACCGTGTTAGCCAGGATGGTCTCGATCTCCTGACCTCATGATCTGCTCTCCTTGGCCTCCCAAAGTGCTGGGATTACAGGCGTGAGCCACTGTTCTCTTGTCTTTTAAGCCTTGCATTTCCTTTCAGCCATTAGGGTCTTAGCACAAAAGTCACCATTTCCGAGAGGTCTCCTTTGGCCTCCCCTATCTAAAGAGGATTCCTTTTCAGTTAAACTCTATCATATTACCTGTTTATTTCAAAATCATAAAATGTGAGCGTTTATACACACATGCACGCACATACGGGCATATACACAGATATCCATGCATCCATACACACTCACACACACACAGCCTCCCGGAGGGCAAAGATCTTGTTCTTCACTGAATTGCCAGCACTTAGAACAGTGACTGGCATGTGCTAGACTCTTGGCGCCTAAACAAATAGACCATTGCCTTTGTTCCCATTTTTTCTGGTGAGGAAACTGAGGCACAGACAGGTTAAGCAACTTGCCCAAAGCTGCACAGTGGGGAAGCCAAGGAGCTGAGGGGTGAGCTCAGGTCTGTGTGAGGCTGTCTCCTGGAGAGTCCCCCCTCCAACCCCGCCCCTCCTGGGCCTGGCACGGACCTCCCAGCAGCATCTCCTGCAGCAGGTTGTCGATCTTGGCCATGCCGAAGAGCTTGATGAACTGGATCTGCTCGATCATCTGCCAGGTGATGCTCTGCAGGGTAGGCAGCAGCAGCAGCAGCTCTCCAAAGCGGCCGCGCGAGTCATACTGGCGGTCGTTGATGTAGTCTTCCAAGCTCACCTGCACCTGGGAACGCAGCCGCTTGATCTTCCCTGGATCGCTCAGCCCTTTGGCATCTACAATGGAAGAAGGTGGGCAAGGGAGGGCAGTGGGGTCCAGCTGGAGCATCTGGGGAGTCAAGACCCAGATGTCCCCTGACTTGTGTCACACAAGGAGTCTTCAGTGTAGGCACAAGGATTCAGGGACCTCAACAACCAGGGTATGCCAGTATGAATTGTAATTTCCTAGACACAGGCAGAAAAAGATGTCTGCCACATTTCCTAAGGCACTAAACCAGAAGAGTGGGGAATAGGAGATGGAGGGCAGGACTTGAGGAATGCATCCAATAAGCACCTAGCAACTGCCTCATCTTACACATGGGGAAACCCAGACACAGTGCAAGGATAGGGCTTGTCCTGGGTGGCACAGCCAGTTGTTGGCAGAGCCACGATGGGAACTTGGGGTTTTGGGCCACAGTTGCGGTCTCCTCATCCAGACCTCAGCACTTGCTGCCTCTACTGTGTTAGAATAGGCTCCCCTTCCCTGGTTCCTGCTTCCTATCACCTTAGGGACTCAGGTTAGGTTTCACCTCCTCCAGGAAGTCTCCCTTCTACCCTCCTAGGTCTGCATCCTGTGTCCTTCCTGTTTCCAAATCTCTGCGGCCCCTCCATCACTGCTGACCACACAGGATGTAATCGTTGTGCCATCCAAATGTGAGCTCTGCAGGGGCAGGCATATGTCTTATTTGCCATTTTTATTTTATCTTACTTTATTTTATTTTATTTTTTGGGACTGAGTCTCCCTCTGACTCCCAGGCTGGAGTGCAGTGGTGTGATCTCAGCTCATTGCAACCTCTGCCTCCCGGATTGAAGTGATTCTCCTGCCTCAGCCTCCTGAGTAGCTGGGATTACAGGCACGTACCACACCCAGCTAATGTTTGTATTTTAGTGGAGACGGGGTTTCACCATGCTGGCCAGGCTGGTCTCACACTTCTGACCTTAAGTAATCTGCCTGCCTCAGCCTCCCAAAATGTTGGGATTACAGGTGTGAGCCACTACACCTGGCCTTTGCCATGTCAAACCCACCACCTAGCACCATGCATAGTCAATATTTATTGAATAGGGCTGGGTGTTATATTTATTTATAACTATATATATATTTTGTCAGATGGCTGGATGAATGAATGAAAAAAATCAGTGAATAAATTCTAGATCCTTAGCCTCGAAGGGACTTAAGCGGTCATTCAATATTTAATCCCAACCTTTGTGGAGGTAATGCATTTATTTCCTCTTTCCTGGAGAAAGGAAGTGGCAGAAAGAACATTCACCCACATTTCTAGTGAGCTCTCTCCACTGAATCATGTTTGTTCATTTGTTCATTCAGTCCACAAATGTTTACTGAGCACCTCCTGCATGCCAGGGGAACTAGGTTCCCCACCCTTCAAATTGCTGGAGGCTGCTGCCTCTGACTCAGCATCAGTGATCCTGCCCATTGTGCAGAACAATTCTGCCCGTCCAGCCTCATGCCGAGCACTACAGAGGATACAGGCTGGGCCAGGCTATGGAGGGAGCTAGAACTAGAAATCTCACCCTCTGGGAAGGGTGGGATAGCACGTGGTAGGTAAGAATGTGGGCTTGAGAGAGAGAGAAATCGGGATTGACAGGTGGTCTGAAGTTCAAATCCAAGCTCTGCCATTTTCTGGTTGCGTGACCTTGGGCAAGTTAATCATGCCTCAGTTTCCTTATCTGTAAAATGGAGATGATAATTCTACTTCACAGGTACCACGTTGGTAAGTAAGATAATCCACATAAAGTGTTTAAAAATAGCTCTTTAGTGAGCATTTAATACATGGGGCTCATCTTCCTCTTCATCACTATATATATATATTTTTGTTTTGTTTTGTTTTGTTTTGTTGAGATGAAGTTTTGCTCTTGTTGCTCAGGCTGGAGTGCAATGGCATGATCTTGGCTCCCACTGCAACCTCCACCTTCCGGGTTCAAGCGATTTTCCTGCCTTGAAATCACACAGCTAATTTTTGTGTTTTTAGTAGAGATGGGGTTTCACCATGTTGGCCAGGCTGGTCTTGAACTCCTGACCTTGAGTAATCTGCCTGCCTCAGTCTCCCAAAGTGCTGGGATTACAGGCATGAGCCACTGCACGCGGCCTTTTCATTACTATTATTACTAGAGGTAATCTATCTGCAGTGTGAAGGACAGTGCCGGGCACACAGTAGGTCCCCTCTAACATGTAAGCAGGGAAGGCAAGCAAGCCTCCGGGGTTCAGGCACCTTTGACACTGGGAAACAAAAGCAAGTTTTGTACAAAGACTGATTACAAAGGCATTCTGTATAAACGCAGGTGCGAATGTCAGTGGACAGAATGGGGAGAGGAGAGCCAAGAGTCGCAGGAGAGGGTAGTAATGCTTTATCTTCATCCTGCAATGTCAAGGGTTGGGAGATACTGTCTACAGTTGATAGAACAAGAAAAGAAAGATAAAAGCACATGACATGCAACAGAGACACAAAAATAGCAATAAAAATATATTGGGAAAAGTGAGGGAGAAAAGATGGGAACGGTAATGGAGAAAAGCAAAATCCTCCGCTATCCTAGGAGGAACGTTATGATCCAAAATGAATGCATCAACAAATATAAGGCTTAGTCTTTCATTTAGAATTGTTGAGGAAACTGCCCGAAGAAACAATTAAAAGAATCAGACATGTTTCTCTTGGGGAGTAGACTTAGAGCTGGAAAAGTAGGATGGGGAGAAGTATTTGCATTTTAAGTATGTATAGATTGATTGATTGATTGATTGATTGATTTATTAGATGAGGTCTTGCTTTATCACCCAGACTGGAGTGCAGTGATGCAATCATAGCTCACAGCAGCCTGGACATCCTGGGCTCAAGAGATCCTCCCACCTTGGCCTCCCGAGTAGCTGGGACTGCAGGTGCTCACTACTATCCCTGGCTAATTTTTTTTTAGTTTCTATAGAGACGAGGTCTTGTTATGTTGGCCAGGCTGGTCTTGAACTCTTGGCCTGAAGTGATCCTCCTGCCTCAGCCTCCCAAAGTGCTGGGATTACAAGTGTGAGCCACCACATCAGGTTCTAGATATTATTTTGATAAAAATTTTTTGAGGAAAAGAAGCAAATATGAAAGAAAAGAGGAAGATGGGAAGTAAGGAGAAAGAAGGATGAAGGGAAGAAGTAAAAGAAGGGAAAGCCCAGGCCTTTGGAGTCAGGGTGCCCTGTCGAGTCATATCCTCCCTTCATGTTTCTTTGAGATGGTGTCTCACTCTGTCGCCAAGGCTGGAATGCAGTGGTGCGATCTTGGCTCACTGCAACCTCCACCTCTCAAGTTCAAGTGATTCTCCTGCCTCAGTCTCCCAAGTAGCTGGGATTACAGGCATGCACCACCATGCCCGGCTAATTTTTGTATTTTTAGTAGAGATGGGGTTTTGCCATGTTAGCCAGGCTCGTCTTGAATCCCTGATCTCGTGTGATCCACCCGCCTCGGCCTCCCAAAGTGCTGGGATTACAGGTGTGGGCCACTGCACCTGGCCATATCCTCCCTTCAAATCTTGACTTGCCTCATCTGTTAAATGAAAACGGCCTCTTCTAGCTGTCGTTAACATGAGATGAGGTTGTGAACTCTGTACATAACCCAATAGGAGAAGTCTGGCAGAGTGTTCTGGAGAGAGAGTCAGGGATGGCTTAGGAGGTGTGCACTGTACCTGGGTCAAAGAAGATGATGGCTTTGAGGTAGGCATACTCATTGTCATCGATCTGCAGCTCCTGGAAGGGCAGCACCAGCTCGTCAAGGATACGCATGGACACCCGGCTCATCTCCGCCAGCTCCGGGCAGTGCCGAGGGACAATGTAGTCATTGCCTGGAAGGGTTGGGAGGGAGGGAGGATGGGAAGTCACCTTGGGTTGACCCCTCTCCTCTAGTTTTGGCTTTTAAGTTGGCAAGATAGTTGGTGCCTGTGGGAGGAGGACCTGCAGGGAAGATGACCCCTATTTCACAGGTAAGGAAGCTGAGGCCCAGATTCAGAAGATGAGCTGCCTCCAGCAATCCGGCTGAGCTTGGAACTTGACTTTCTAGGACCCCTTTCACATGACCCAAGCTCCATTTACCAATGTGACTCACAAGATCGATGCCACTCAAAGGCCACCTGGTAGGCACCAAAGTATCAAAGTTAAAGGACCAGATTCTGGAACTGCACTGCCCTGCTTAAATGGCTCTGCCCCTGATAGCCGGTTAGAGTTGGATAAGTTACTTAACCTCTCTGTGCCTCAGTTTTCTCATCTATAAGATAAGGATAAATAATCGAGCTTCCCTCATAGCATTGTTGTATTAAAATAGGTAGTGTTTGCAAAGCAGTGAGCGCAGTCCCTGGCGCACAGTGTGTGCTGTACAAGCATTTAAAATAATAAATATGCTGGCCGGGCGTGGTGGCTTACGCCTGTAATCCTAGCACTTTGGGAGGCCGAGGCGGGTGGATCACGAGGTCAGGAGATCGAGACTATCTTGGCTAACATGGTGAAACTCCGTCTCTACTAAAAATACAAAAAAAAAAATAAAAAAAAATAAAAAATTAGCCGGGCGTGGTGGTGGGCGCCTATAGACCCAGAGACTCGGGAGGCTGAGGCAGGAGAATGGTGTGAACTCGGGAGGCAGAGCTTGTAGTGAACCGAGATCGTGCCACTGCACTCCAGATGGGCAACTGAGCAAAACTCCGTCTCAGAAAAAAAAAAATAATAATAATAAATATGCCATGAAGGCACAGGTGACACGGCCTGGGCTTTGTGCCATTCCCAACTACCTCTTGCTCCTACTCCAGAAAGAGCATCAGAATGCACAGGTAGGCTGGGCACAGTGGCTCACACCTGTAACCCCAGCACTTTGGGAGACTGAGGCAGGTGGATCATTTGAGGCCAGAAGTTTGAGACCAGCCTGGTCCACATGGTGAAACCCTGTCTCTACTAAAAATACAAAAATGAGCTGGGTGTGGTGGTGCATGCCTGTGGTCCCAGCTACTCTGGAGGGTGAGGCAGGAGAATGGCTTGAACCTGGCAGGCAGAGGCTGAAGTGAGCCGAGATTGCACCATTACACTCCAGCCTGAGTGACAGAGCAAGACTCTAAAAAAAAAAAAAAAAAAAAAAAAAAAAAAAAAAAAAAAAAAAAAAAGATGCACAGGTAATTCCAGGGATAATCCTGATTGTGCTCTGACTTTACTGCTGGGAATTTGATGCCTTACATCACATTTCTTTGCATCTGAGTGGAGTACCCAGTTGAGAACTGAGTCCTGGAACCCTCCAATGCAAGCCTGAGGACAGGGCCACTCCTGACTAGTCTCCCTCGCCCATACATGCCACCATGTGAATCTCCTTGCCTGGGTGAGTGCCATGCTAGGTATGCCCTCCCTGGAGCCCGGGCCAGGGCAGGCAGCCTCCTCACCTAGGAGCAGCACGTCCTTGAACACCATGGATCGCTTGGTGGCTCCGAGCAGCAGGTGCTCGCCAGCATGGGCTCTGAGCAGGGCCACCTGAAAGAGAGAAGGAACAGTGTTTGTCATCTGTACCCTTGGGAAGGCTGCCCGTAGCCAACTCAGTGACGCTGGGCAAGTCAGCTTAATGTTCCCCTCTGCCTCTACCTGCCTGAACCGTGAAATGGGCATCATAAAACTACTGCCCATAAAACTAGAAACCTGGAAGGAATTCTGCAGAAAACCAGTAGGAGAAAGAACATGCGCTCAGAGCTGAGAGACCTCGCGCCGACTCTGCCTTTGAACTGCTATGTCCTTGGGTGAGAAGCTGCTTCGCGCTGGGCCTTTTCTGTGTGCCTGATGAAACTGTAAGAAACATTCTGTGTGCTTTTTATTTTCTTTTTTGAGATTCTCAAAAAGGTCTATGATCCCACAAAGTTCCAAAACCCAAATTCCCACCCATGGGCCAGCTATGGAGAATTATGAAGGGTGCTTTGTAAAAATATAGATTCTATTTTTTTTTTGAAACAGAGTCTCACTCTGTCACCCAGGCTGGAGTGCAGTGGCATGATCTTGGCTCACTGCAGCTTCCGCCTCCCAGGTTCAAGTGATTCTCGTGCCTCAGCCTCCAGAGTAGCTGAGACTACAGGCGTGCACTACCATGCCTGGCTAATTTTATTTTTAGGAGAGACGGGGTTTCACCATATTGGCCAGGCTGATCGTGAACTCCTGACCTCAGGTGATCAACCCAACTTGGCCTGCCAAAGTGCTAGGATTACAGGCGTGAACCACGGTGCCCGGCCTGAAAATATAGATTCTCAGGCCCTGAGATTCTGATCCTGATTCTGTATGTTTAGGGTGGGCCCAGGGATCTGTGTTTAATAAGCTCCACAGTTGACTCTGAAGTGCAATTCTGTCTGGGAAATCATTGCTGTGGCAGATCCCTCCAGGGACTGACATTGCAGGACTCCAGGATTCTGAGAGGGCATTACAAGAACTTGGAGGTGGATGTTGGGTCTCAGGGCTGGTCCTTCTCAAAGCAAAGGTATGAGCACTGGCCTTTGGCAGAGAATCACCTTGATGAAACCCTTCTCTGCAGGGCGTACAAGGCAAGACTTCGAAGACTAGAATCGTAGGTAGGCGCCCAGCAAGCTCACAGAAGGACATAGCCAGCCCACTGAGGGCCATCTGCTTTAGTGCTTGCCTGAGGACCAAAGGATGGCCTGAAACAAAACAGCACCAGGCTGGCAGCCTCAAGTATCTTATCTTCACGGCTGAGTTAGGGAGTTTGGAGGTTCTATAGCAAGCCAAACTAGAAGGTTAAAATGCCTTTGTTTGTTCATTCATTTGATTGTTCGTTCTTTCAGTTATCAAATCCTAAATGCCTACTACCTGCCAGACACTTTTTAAGACAATGGAGGCACAGTGTTTAAAAATGAGAGACAAGGTGCCCAATCTCATCGAACTAACATTTTGTAGGAGAAAGTATGGAACAGACAGTAGAGAACAAATCAATACACAGCACAGTGGGTGATCACAACATAAAAGAAAGAGGAAGGAGAAAAGATGGGAGGAAGGGAAGAAGGGAGGGAGAGGAGTGGAAAGGACGGTGAGAGCAATGGGGCAAGAATGGCTACATTAGATGGGGAGGTCAGAGGAGACCTCTAAGGAGGTGAAATTGTTTTTTTTTTTTTTTATTTTTTTTTTTTGAGACGGAGTCTCGCTCTGTCGCCCAGGCTGGAGTGCAGTGGCCGGATCTCAGCTCACTGCAAGCTCCGCCTCCCGGGTTTATGCCATTCTCCTGCCTCAGCCTCCCGAGTAGCTGGGACTACAGGCGCCCGCCACCTCGCCCGTCTAGTTTTTTGTATTTTTTAGTAGAGACGGGGTTTCACCGTGTTAGCCAGGATGGTCTCGATCTCCTGACCTCGTGATCCGCCCGTCTCGGCCTCCCAAAGTGCTGGGATTACAGGCTTGAGCCACCGCGCCCGGCCCCGAAATTGTTGTTAGAGGAAAAAAGAGATTTGCCTGAAGGTATTTGGCACAAAATAAGCTTTCAATAAATATTTGAATGAAGGAAGGAAGGGAAGGGGAAATGAATGAATGAATGAATGAATGAATGAGCAAACATCTTGACTTCTTCTCTAGCTCTAGCTGCTCCTGGGCAGCCACTTGTCCTTGCCACTTCTATTCCCCATGGATAGAATCTTGTGACGAACACAGAAAAAGAGGAAACTGCCTGGGAGGGGAAATCCACTTTCCATGACCAGTATGGAGGGAGGCTGAGGATGCTGATTGCTGAGTGCCTCCTGCGCGCCAGGCACTGTGCAAGCCTTTCATCAGTCACCCCAGCGGCCCTCACACCGCGAAGCAGAAGACCTGGATTTGAATCCCAGTTCTATGGCTAACTTGCTCTATGACTTCAGGCAAATTGCTGTCTCTCTCTAAGCCCCAGTCTCTTTCTCCAGTTGTATCCAGGCCCAAGAAGCACACCAACTGGGAATCTAGTTTCTGGGGCAATGTCAACAGAATTGGAATGCCCTTTGGAGGACAATGCCCCCGATTTTCCCAGGGATGCCCCACCTGCACTGGGCAAGCTGGGCTCCTCATACACCAGGAATGGGGAGCTGGGAGCTCTTCTGATCCCAGGTTCAACCCCCTGATATGGCAGCTGTTCTGGGGGGTGGGCCGGGAGGTCGGGTGGTGTGTTAATGATTGTCCTCTGTTATTGGCCACCCATCATTGCTCTCTGAGAATGCTCTGAGCCCCAGCCAGGGAGGTTTGGGTGGGAAATCGAGGTTAACAATTGCTCAGGTTGGGGGTATCTTGTTGCCCTGCTAAGCCCCTGAGAAGGAACAGGAGGGATTAAACATTAATGTAGAGACTCCAGCAGAGGGGACTGGGGCCAGAGCACAAGGAGCAGGGGAGAGGGTAGGGGCAGATTGTCCAAGATCCTTGCCCTGTTGACTCTGCTAACGGAGGGAGGAACCATGGAAGAGGACCCTGGGTCCAGCCCCTGTATGAGGCTGGGGACCAGCCAAACCAGCATTTTCAGTGTCCCTATATGCAGTATTAACAGGTGTTCCAGGAGAATCTTGGGGCCGAAGGAGTTCGGGAAGCCTTGGCCTCTGAGAAGTCAACTTCTCAGAAGTTTCCACAGACTCACATGCATTGTTGGTGTCTTATGCAAAGGTGTGAAACAGGTAAGTGAATGCACCAGAGGCTGTCTCCAAAGGTGGGGAGGTGGCCCAGCCCAGCTCCTCTTCCCTAGATGGGGAACATCTGTTTGGAGGCCCAGGGGTGCTCTGGGCAGGAGCTTCATAGGTGGCATCTCCGAAATTCATCTGTTCTCAGACACACGCCACCTTCCTTCAACCCTTTCTTCCCCCAGGGACATTTTAGTATTCCAAAAAAAAAAAAATGTACGGTGGGGAATACGATGCTGAGTTCAACTGTTTTGGTGGGAAAGAAGGAAGAAACTAACATTTAGGGAGACGAGCTCTGGTCCCGCCACTGCGCAGCTTGCTCCATCACCCGAGTTTTGCACTTTTCAGACAGTAATGTCCTCAGTCCTCCCAACCACACTCTAAAGTGGATATTATCATTTCCACTTTACAGATAAGAGAACACTGAGGCTCAGAGAGAGGAAGTCATTTGCCCAGGATTAGGCAGACAACCAGTATTAGAGCCAGAGCTTAAGCCAAAATCTCCTGATCCCTGTCCCAGGGTCCCTGTCAACATCGCCCTGGGAGAGCCACGGGTACGATGGTTAGGAGCTTGGACTTTGGAGCTTCCCTACTAGGTTCTAATCCCAGCTGTGCTGGATAGTAGCTATGTGACCTTGAGCAGGTTACTTAACCTCTCTGTGCCCCAATTTCCTCACCTATGAGATGGCAGTAATAATAGAACCTTAGTACCTACCTCATAGAGTTGTTGGAGGAGCTAACTGAGTTAATATTTGTAAGGTGATTTGAAGTTTCAGACACATGTGTGCACTATGCGTTTTGTTAAATAAAATAAAATCAAGCCAGTCCATGGCTATATCCCAGATGGGCCAGCAGCCCCCTGGCTGCCCTGCCCGGTGCCCACTACTGCCCACCATCCACGCCCATCCTTACCTGGTCGTCCAGGGGGAGCTCGCAGAAAGCCGGGATGTACTTGGCCCACTCGACGAGAACCAGCAGCTGCTCCTTCATGGACTCACATACGTCTGCGATGCTGGCGATCTTCTTCGCCCGAATGTCGCCATTGATCCCGGAGACGGGGGAGGTGATCTTCAAGAGATACAGGGAAGAAAATGCTGGAGATGTCCGGGCCCTCCTGTACTCTCTGTCCCCTGCACAGAGCCCCCTCCCTGGAATCAGATGTGAGGAGGGAGCAGCATAGTGGGTGCCTTCCAGCTCTAAAGGAAGCTCAGGGTAAAAACGGAGGGAGGGAGGAGGCAGGGATGAGGGAGAAGGGCTCCCTCTCGGCCTTCACCTATTACCTGCCCCTTGCCTCCTCCTCTATCAGCTTTAGAGCGCCAAACAGTCTCTCAGCCTTAGAGGAGAAGCAGGGAAAAAAAATCATCATCCTTATGTGACAGTGAGGCAACCATGGCTCATAGAGGTGCTGTGACTTGCCCAAGGTCACTCAGCAAGGGATGGGCTGGGCCCCACGTTGCCACCTCTGTCCATTGAACCACTGCTCTGTTCTCTCAGGGCTGAGCTGATTGCAGGCCCTCAGTGAAGGCGAAGACTCTGCTTGGCCTGTGGGATGCAGGCAGTAGGATGAATCAGAACGTGCCCCAGGGCACCAGGTTTGAGTTCTGCCCTTGCTGCTAACTGGGCCATGTGACGCCGGACTCAGTATCCCTCTGTAATATCCGAGGCCCCTCCCATCAGCTGCTCCAGGGCCTGGCTGGGGAGAATGGAGGTGGAGGAGGTGAGCTCCTCTGTGGTGTAGGGGATCCCTGGGTGAGTGGCAGGGTCACCCCGGTACCTGTCGGGACAGGACCTCTGCCTGCAGGAGCGCATTGATGGAGGGCAGGCTGCTGTCCTCATAACTTGACCTTCGAGTGCTGATCCGGTCCCGCTCATTTTGGACGGCTGTGAGGAGGCAGAGAGAGGTGAGGAGGGAGAGCAGGGAGGGAGTGAGGGGGTGGGAGTGTCTGTGACTGATGAGGAGTGGGAGCAGGAGGTGGGGGGCGTCCAGAGAACAGGCCCACATCAGCATGTGGATTGAGGGGAGATGGCCTCTAACTCAGCTGGTGGAAGAACTTTCCACGTATCAGAACTGCCCCCCACACAATGGAGAGGCTATAGGAGTGATCCACCCATCATCAGGGGCGTGCAAGACAGTGATGACTCAGCTATGGGCTTAAAATGGGTCTTGAGCATTGAGGATGGGGTTTGACTAGATTAAACATGTTCAGGCTCCCGTCTACAAAAGGGTCCCTTTCTTTCCAAATCAAAGTGAGTAAAGCAAGCAAAGCAAATTACTCTGGGTGACACGGAGATGGCCTGGAGATTCCTGAACAAGGGGATCTGGGGGCTCCAACTGCCTTGATGGTTTTGTACATCATCAGGAGCTGCATGTACTCCAGACTAACCTCAGTGTCAGCAAGGCCAGGCGCTGTCTCCCTCCCTCCCACTGCTGTTCTGTTCCAGGCACTGAGGGATCTGGAGCCTCAGCCCACCGAGGCCCCAGGCTCCACTGCCCGCCCCCATCTGGGTCAGTCCTGGCCTGAGATAGAAGATGATCCTTCCACTGTCCTGACAATGATGGGATAGCCCTTAGAGTCCAAGAGGCCTCACTGTGGAATGAGGCTTGGCTGATTCGGAAAGGAGAGATGATGAAGCTGCACGAGATCCGGCTTCCTGTCTGGAACCTGCCACTCTGTGCGCTGGTGGCAATCGCAGCCTCTCTCTGGGGCTCACTTTCCCTACCTGTAGGCATCTCCCTGCCAGCCAGCTCCCTGCACTTTCTTGTCTCAGGGACTGGCAGGTTGGTTCTTCCAGTCCATCAAGCTGGGGCACCTTCCTTGACTTCCCCTCACACCCCAGTGCTGTAATGATCCTGACAAACAGACCCGCTGCTCCCTCCCTGCTCCCGGGCCTGCTGTCTCTCCTGGATTAGATCAGCCTCCTCCTGGGCTCTGCTTCTTCCTTGTGCCTGCAGTCTATAGTCCTCTCACAGAGGGATCCGTTCAAGTCGTGTCCCCTACTGCTCCAAACCAGTGTCTTCCAACCTCACAAGTCCCTAAGGCCCTTCCTCTCCTCTCTGATCGCCCTTTTAGCAGCGTCCCACTACTCACTCTGTCCCCAAAAACCCGCCTCCCCGCCTGGATGCATCCGCACACTTGAGGGCTGCTGTGGTCACTGCCTGGCGTTCCCTTTTCCGCACAGCGCAGCAGCGTCTTCATTTCACTCCTGCCTCTGCACAAATGTCACCTTTCAGACACCCTCTCCAGCCACCCTGTCTAACACAGCATGCCCCCGACCCTGGCCCTGCCCTACCCCGCTTTATTTTAATTCCGGGCACTTATTGTAGAATTATTTGTTACTTCCTTTACTATCTGTCTCTCTCTGAGAAGGAAAGCTTCAGAAGGCCAAAACTCCAACCCTGCGGTCACTGCTGTCGCCCCAGCCACCAGAACAGAGCCTGGTACACAGTAGGTGCTCAATAAATATTTGTGAAGTGAGAGAAATAAGGCGCTGGAGGAGACAAGCTCTAATTCCTTTTCTTTTTCTCTTTTTGTTTTTGAGACGGGGTCTAATTCTGTTGCTCAGGCTGGAGTGCAGTGGCGCAACCATAGCTCACAGCAGCCTCAACCTGCTGGGCTCAAGTGATCCTCCTGCCTCAGCCTCCCGAATAGCTGGGATTACAGGCGTGTGTCACCATGCCTGGCTTTTTTTTCTTTTTCTTTTTTTTTTTTTGAGAGATGGGGTCTCATTATGTTGCCTAGGCTGGTCTCAAACTCCTGGTTTTAAGCGATCCACTCAACCTCACAAAATGCTGGGATTACAGGTGTGAGGCACCACGCCTGGTCATAAACTCTAATTCTTATAAGAACCCTATTTCTCCAGGGAACATTGACACCCTAGCTGTTCGACTTTCTCTTGATGTTGACACACTGTTAAAATCAGAGAATAAAAGTCAAATCCTTTGCATTGAGCCCGGAAGTCAGCGGATGGAACAGAAATCCAGAAGCACAGCCTCCTCTCAGACCCACCACGTGGACAGGGCCAGCTCAGAGCACGGTTTCCCTGCCCGGGCCGTCCGCCCCACCTGCCCACACCCCTCCCACGGCAGCCTCCTGCCAGCGCCCGCACCCACCCACCAGGGCGCCAAGTGGCCGGCGGGCCGAATGAAAGGGCTGCTGTCAGCAGCTGCGGCTAGGGCTCCTCAAGGTTAGGCGGGCGTTATCAGTGCCCGGCGCGAGCTCAGTCACGGAATGATGTTTTCCAAATGTTTGCTCAGTATTAGCAGGGTCGGGGACCTAATGTAACTTCTATTGAATATTAACCGACCTGGGCAGAGGCGGAGAGGTGATGAGCCTGTCTTCCCAGAGAACTCCTGGGTAGGGGGCTGTGGGGAGCAGGGCCGTGGCTTCCGAGGAAGGTTCCATCAGATGGCCCCTGGCCCATCACCAACGCTCACCTCCTGCAACCCTGGGTCTGCTTTCTGGGCTGGGATTTTGATGCCAGGAGCCGGATATTTGTCCCAGGCCTGACAGCGGAGGCTCAGGCAGGTGTCTGTCTCCCTGGCTTTGGGTTACAGGAAAGAATTCTTGGCCTGCTGTTGGCCCATTGACCCCCAGGGTTCTCCCTGGATTCTTTGTCCCTCCAGGGAGCCCGTTCCGGCCACGGTGGACTATCCTCTGGCGGAGACTTACAGGCCCATGAGACCTGAAGCCCCTCTCTGTGGTCGAGAGAAAGTTTCAGCCGTCTAGATCAAGAAATGTGCCTCCCAAACTGATCACTGCAAGTTTCACTCCAGGGAGCTTAGCGTCTGCTCAGCTCTGGGGAGCCTGAGTTCTAGACCTGACTCCAGCCCTGACCCATCACATCACCTCTCTAGCCTCGGTGTCCTCTTCTGTAAAGTGGGGAGCGGGTAGGTTTGATGCGCTCTTATAGACTCAGCTGGTCTCGAAATCCTACCTTCCCAGTTCACACTTTCTGGTTCTCAGGGACTATTTTGGATTTCAGTCCTCAAATTCTCCTAAGGTCATCAAGAAAAAGAATGAAAATTTGTCCCAACTCTCCGGGCCAGTGAGACTTCCACCGAGACTTTCTTTGGGCTTTGGGAGCTTCCCGGCAGGCTGAGGAGGGTTGGTGGGGCCTAGAAGACTTAGGCACAGCTAGGAATACCCTCATTTCCTACAGCTTGACCACAGTGACAACTGAACACTTTGTCACTCTGGCCCGTTCTCAAAACAACCAAGTGACTGCATGTGTCATGAACTTCCAGGTAACCCAGGCATGTAAACAAGCACCAGCATCGACTAACCCATGCTCACTTGCCATCAGCCAACTCTCCTATCCTCCGGGCAGCATGTCCGTTTCCCTGGGCCAGGAAGCAAGCAGCTATTTTCAAGGCTGAGCTAAGGCTGAATGGTCTCGGGCTCTCACCCCCTTTCCAGCAGCCTAGTAAGGGGTTTGCTGGCTTTGCAGCAGCTCAAGAGAGGGCCAGGGGCCAGGCGCGGTGGCTCACGGCTGTAATCCCAGCACTTTGGGAGGCCGAGGCGGATCACCTGAGGTCAGGGGTTCAAGAGCAGCCTGGCCAATATGGTGAAACCCCATCTCTACTCAAAATACAAAATTAGCCAGGTGTGGTGGCACAGGCCTGTAATCCCAGCTACTTGGGAGGCTGAGGCAGCAGAATCACTTGAACCCAGGAGGTGGAGGTTGCCGTGAGCCGAGATCGTGCCATTGTACTCCAGCCTGGGCAACAAGAGCAAAATTCCATCTCAAAAAAAAACCAAAAAACAAAAAAAGAGGGGACCAGGGAACAAACACACTCATCCTAATGGGCAGTGTGACTTGTGCAGGTAGGTCAGGGAGTGAGGAGCGAGACTCATAGGGCTGAAGCGTTCATTATCCAATGCCCTCATTTTATAGATGGGAAAACTAGAGGCCAGAAGGGACAGAAACGTCCCTAAATTACACAAGTGAAAATGACTCTGGATGTCTAATAAGAGACATTTATAACAACTGACCACACGCAGGACCATCCACTCAGGAGGGCTGCCAACCCCTCTCCCTTCTGCCTGTCACAGACCTGAGCTTTCACTGTGACAGAGACGTTCTCTCAAACGCAGTGCCCTCTGGATGACACCTAGAAGCAATCGTAGTGCCTAAAATCTTAGGCTTTTGGGATAATGGAATCACTGACTAATACAACCACGGAAATGTTGGAACCTTAGTCTGTACTCCTCGATCTTTTTTTTGCTTCCAGCTGTTCACACGTGCATCAGGTTCCCATTCATAACCTCTCTCAGTCCACAGAATGGAAGCTGAAGTGGATGAGACAGGCTCAATCCCATTGAAAACTGGGATTGGGAGATGAGGGAGTGTCTGCAGCTTGAAAAAGCCCCTCTTGCCCTTAGAGAACCACTGAGGTCTAGATGTTACAATTGCAGTGTTTAGAGCAGGCCTTGGGGACCACCCACTCCTGCATCGGGGTCAACAAGCCCAGATTTTCCAAGACAGCTCGTGAGTTCAAACTAAGGCCCCATAAGGATGAGACATAGAAGATATTTCCAAGGGAGGGGGCAGAGAAAACAGGGGGCCAAGAGCAGATACAGGGGAAACAGCGTCTACCAAAGCCTCCCCTCCCCTCCTTCTCAGTGGGCCCCGGAGCAAGCTGGGTCCTACATTCCTGCTTCTGGGGTGTGCTTGGGTGGTGGGGGTGAGGGGTGTTTCTACAGAACTAGCAGGACTAGACCAAGGTTTGGCTGGTGCGGCCCAACTGTGGACTAGAAGGGAAGGTCTGGGACTAGTTGCAGAGCTGGGAAAGGTTGACTTTAGAGGAGCAGGGAATGAAGAGATTCGAAAATGAACTCAAGTTACTTTTTTACTTTTCGAGAGAGAGTCTCGCTGTCTTGCCCAGTCTGGAGTGCAGTGGCATGATATCGGCTCACTGCAACCGCCGCCTCCTGGGTTCAAGCAATTCTCCTGCCTCAGACTCCCGAATAGCTAGGACTACAGGCATGCGCCACCACGCCCAGCTAATTTTTTTGTATTTTTAGTAGAGATGGGGTTTTACCGTGGTGGTCTCGAACTCCTGACCTCAAATGATTTGCCTGCCTCGGCCTCCCAAAGTGCTGGGATTACAGGCATGAGCCACTGCGCCTGGCCTCAAGTTACTTTACAGCAGTTAAAAGATTTTTGCTTCCCTTGCTTGGGCTGAAAACAATTTTAAATGTCCCTGGGATCTGGAGGGCATAAAATAATAGACAGTGCTGAAGTGTGGTCCCAATAACAGAAGCTCTGGGACCTCAGGACTTCCAAGGAGCAGTTGTGGCGCCCTAGGCAAGTTGCTTAACCCTTGTGGGCCTCAGTTCCTGCATCCACAAAAAGGGAGGAATTGTAATAGGTTCAATGGGCTGGTCTCCTTTCATTTTCGTGACATTTTCCCACACAGGGTTGTCATGAAGATGAAATGAACCCAGCCCATTGAAGTGCGGAAAAAGCCCAGCCCAGTGGCTGATACCTGCTGGTAGCAGGAGGCCTGGCAAGACCTTAATAAATATTGTGCTGTGGTCTTCTCCTCCTCCTTCGTCCAGGATGGGACTGGGGTCTTGTTCCCATTTTCTAGAATGTGAAGACTTTGGAGATCACCTGACACCCACAAATGAATACCAAGGGAATTGCGGCATTTGTCCCTGGGACAGGAAGCTCAGGCATCGGGTACCCCTGGCTATCCCCTTTGTAAAGTTGGGGTAGTGAGTACTCAGATGCTTGCAATGTCATTCTCTATGCTTGTCCTAATGTTCAAAATATTATATTAAAACACACACACACACACACACAATGTGGCTGCTTTGTGGTGGCACAGACAGGCAGGCAGGGGTGGTGGTTGCTGGGAGCCTGAGGAGCCAAGAGTAGGAGCTTATCTCTCTGAATCTTTCTCAAGACCAAGCCCAGCCGCTCCCTATGGTCAGATTTCCCGGCCCTCCCTCTTCTCAGCCATTAGCCAGTCACCCTGGGGCCTGCCACTGAGTCATAAAGTGTGGCTACAGTTGTAAATGACTGTCGGGGAGATGTGGGTGCAGGTGGGGCAGTGGTGGGGGGGGCGGGGAGGGCCGAGGCTCACCTTCCTTCTTCATGCCAGCCCGGAAGCATTTCTTGAGCCTGCAGTAGCGGCACTGGTTCCTCTTGTCTTTGTCCACCACGCACTGCCGGCTAAATCTGGGGAGGGCTTTGGATGGTTGGATGGAGAAGACACAACTTCCTCCTCTAAGGACAGAACTAGGGCCCTGGCTATCCAGTTGACCCCCCAGCCTCAGTGCTCTCATCTCTTCATCCCAGGAGTTCTCTCTTGAGCCCACCAGGAGCTGGAGAGGTGCTATGAACTCTCTAAGAGCCCAGTCCTGTCCTGCTAAATATGGGGAAACTGAGGCTCAGAGAGGCGACATGTGGTCACGGGTCGCTCTGCTGGTTGGTGTTAGAGCTGAGTTGGGAACCTCGACCTCTTGAGTACCAGAGCCTTGCTATTTCCACCACATCCTATAAAAGCCCAGAACCCAGAGCAGGCTCCTGGTTATGGCTCAGAGTTAATGCTTGGTTCACATAAGCCTCTCTCTGGAGGCGGATAGGAAGTAGAGGCAGTGCCACACAGTGGTGACGGGTGGGGTCCTGAATATTAACCCTGGCTCTGCCATTGATTCAAGCTGGTTGACCTTGGGCAAATGCCTAGCGCTCCACGCCACAGCTTCCTCCTCTATAAACGGGAATAACAACAGTAACCATCTCACAGGGTGTTGACAGGTGAAATGAAGTCATGCACTGATGGGCACAGTCTCTGTACATGACAAGTGCTCACGATTGACAGCTGCTATGATTTTATTGTTGTCGTTACCCGGAACAGGAGATGCTTTCGAAAGAGGGCTCTCCAAGGCCTTGAGAAGACTTTGGGTTTGGTGGAAGCCCTTGGGGTAGGTGGAATGGCCTGGGGTTGGTGGAGCGGCCTAGGGTCAATCTCTTATTTGTCCCGGAAAAAACACCAGAGTGGAAGACAAGCTCATCTACTGAGACTTCAGAAGAGGCCTCATGGAATGGGAAAAAGAACAATGGGCTCCAGGGGATGATTAAATCCACACGAAGCCTTAGTATGGTGCCTGGCATGTGATAAGAGCTCAATAAACGGCAGCCAGTAACTTGATGATCAGTAAATGTGGTTCCTAGAATAGATGCTCGTCTTGGATTCACAAAGCCTACAAAACCAGAGGAGCCGTGAAGGCCCTGAAGGGCAGCTGTCTCTGGGACCCACCCACTCAGGGAGAAGACAGACCTTGGGGCCATAAGCCCAAGTGTGCCCATTTCCCAGCTGGAGAAATTGAGGCTCCTCACCTGCAGGAGTACATGTGGTTCTTCCGCACACTCCTCCGGAAGAAGCCCTTGCAGCCGTCACAGCTCGAGGCGCCGTAGTGTTTGCCCGTGGCCCGGTCCCCGCAGATGGCACACAGGGCGCTGACACCCAGGCTGTTGGGCGCGTTGAGGTTGGTGCCTTCTGACGGGGATGTGTCTGCACCAGGAGAGAAGGGAGTGAGGCTTCAGGAAGAACAGAAAGTCAGACATCTAAGGGAGCCTTGCGGGGATCTCTCCAGGGCTCCGGCTTCAGCCAGATCTGGGGGCTGTTCCCACTCCATCACCTCCCCGCTCAGTGACCTCCCGACTTTTTGGAGCTTCAGTTTCCCATCTGTAAATTGGGGCTGGTTGTGACTTCACAGAGTTGTGTCTGAGGGTCTGCATCTCCCTGTGGTGGAGGCCGTGAGCCCCAGCTTTTCTCTAGGAAAGCATGAAAACCTGGCCACCTTCTGGGGTGGGAGCCTGCCTCCTAACTGGGGAGGGGGCTGCGGAAGGGAGGAACATTCCCCTGCAATCTCTCCCCAGAACCAGGTCCTGTCCCTCAGTTCTCACCAAGGGACCAGGGCTGGGTGGATCTCAGCTTGTGTGCCCAGGGGCCCCGCAAATTCTCTGAAGAACGGGAAAGACTTGGGCCGAGAACAGTCCCACTCCTGTGGCCTCCGAGGAGGGTCTGGACACGTCTCCCATCCCTCCTGTCCCACAGGCAAAAGCTATGCATCTACACAAATGTGAGGAGGGCCATAGAGGCAGGTGGAAAGAGGATCTCGGGCTGGGGGCCAGGAGTCCTGGGCATTAGTGCTGATGCTGCCACTAACTTGCCTGTAAACGTGGGCAACTTCCTTTTCCTTGCTTCAATTTCTTCTGGGCCTCAGTTTCTCTAACCATAAAAGGGAGCAGTTTGACTGGTCTGATTGTTTCCAAATTTAAAAAAATATCAGCAGCTGAACTCCCCCCGCCTTTTTTTTTTTTTGGTCAGCAAATCTTTCAGCAAAGATAGACCCCTTTGGAGAAGATGACAAATGCAATGGATCAGCCCCCGGGAAAATGCAAGCGTGTGTGCCACACAGTCCACACACACGCACACACGCCACACACAAGCACAACACAGGCACCACACAGTCCACACACGCACACACGCCACACACAAGCACACACACACGCACCACACAGTCCACACATGCACACATGCACACATGCCACACACAAGCACACACACGTGCACCACAGTCCACACACATGCACGCCACACACAAGCACACACACACGCACCACACAGCCCACACAAACACGCTACACACAAGCACACGCACATGCACCACACAGCCCACACACCCACGCACATGCACCACACAGCCCACACACATGCAATAATACTACATGCCACACAGTCCACACACATGCACACACTACACGCCACACAGTCCACACATGCACACACACACACTACACATGGGCACACACATGTACCATTGTCTCACACACATGCACACATACACACAAGCACACGCACACACTATACAGTCCCACACACATGCACGCCTACACACAAGCACACACACACACGCACCACACAGCCCACACACACATGCCACACACAAGCGCACACACACACTATACAGTCCACACACACACACACCACACACACACACACACACACACGCACCACACAGCCCACACACACACGCCACACACAAGCACACACACACACTATACAGTCCACACACAGTACGCCACACACAAGCACACACACACGCACCACACAGCCCACACACACACACCACACACACAAGCACACACACACACGCACCACACAGTCCACACACACACGCCACACACACATCATACAGTTCACACATGCACGCCACACACAAGTACACACACACGCACCACACAGCCCACACACACGCCACACACAAGCACACACACACGCACCACACAGCCTACACACACGCCACACACCTACACACACACGCACCACACAGCCCACACATGCACACACTACACGCCACACAGTCCACACACACATGCACACACTACACGCCACATAGTCACACACACATGCACACAGACACACACCACACAGTCCACACACATGCACACACACACACCACACAGTCACCACACATGCACACAGATACACACCACACAGTCCACACACATGCACACAGACATCAAAAAGTTGACACACACCACACAGTCCACACACAAACACATACACATGCACCACACACTCCACACACGCACACACCACATAGTCCACACACGCACAGACATGCACAACAGTCCATACAGGCACACACACACACCACAGTCACACACACATGCACACACACACATGCACATACATACAGTCCACACATGAACATACACACAGTCTACATATACGCACACACACAATTCACACACACATACACACATATCAACACACACATATATACACTCATGTGTACACATACACTCCACACACATGAACATACACACACAGTTCACACATATGCACACATAGTCCACACACACACACAGTGTACACATACATACACACAGTCCACACATGCACACACAGATGTGCACACACAGTCCACACACATAACACATGCATGCACACACATGCACAGTCCATACACATGCACACACACGGACACATACACACATCAGCACACACCTACACAAACGTGTGCACACACACATACAGCCCACACATATACATACACATAGACACAGTCCACACACACATACACACATGCACTAGCATACATACAGACACATACAAACATGCACACACACACGCACACACACGTGTATTCATAGAAATCCTGAATCTGACCTTGGATTCCTCAGAGGCATCCAGTTAGACCCAGAGAGGGCCACGTGCTGTAGGTAACAGCACAGCCTCTGAAGTCCTTCTGCCCAGGGTTCAGTCCCGGCTTGCCCACTTTTTAGCCATGTGACGTTGGCTGTGTTTGTTTACTTCTCTATGCTTTTGTTTCCTCATTTGTAACATGGGGAACGTGATATTCCCCTAGGTTTGTTATGGGGACCCGGCGAATACTCATTTGTGTATGCGAAGTGCTTGGCGCATAGTAAGCACTGTATCAGTGTTCGTGAAATAAAAACTTCTGCATAGGCAAACTCTCGGAGCAGAGGACTTCCAGGCTGTGTCACAAGCAGACACTGCCGCATCTCATTTCTGCCATCACAGACTCCCAGGTGTCCCCAGGACTTGGTGAATTATTCCTGGAGATGGGGATAATTGTTAAGCCACATGGGTGCCCTTTCTCCCTCAGCCTCTCCTCCCTCGACCCCCGGGGAGACTGACCCCACAGCTCCTGGTCATTCAGTAGGAGGCTGGGGAAGTAGCTCCCAGCTCTGGGGCAGGATGGGCTGGGGGCTGTCAGCTCTATCATCTCCCCTCTGAGGTCAGCCGAGCACCTCCATTCTGCAGGTGAGGACGCTGAGGCTTAGAGAGGACAAGTGGCTTCCTGATGTCATCGCACTGCTTGCTGTGAAGCAGAGCCATGGGTTTATGGTCCAGGCTTGCTTGGCTACTCCGGCCAGTGCCGCACGTGTTGAGGTGTCTGCTGGGGCCTCTAATGAACAAGGAGCCCCCTGGGGCTGCCGCTGCATGGGGGTGGGGAGTGGACGGGGAAGAAATATCCTTGGAGCCTTTGAGCCACCAGCCCAGGATATACTCAAAACACTTCAGAGGACAACTTCACATAACCCCAATTCAGACCACTTCAAAATCCAGTGAGGAACGTGGGAACCCTGCTTACAGATGCTCAGAGCCCTTGACACGACCCATGTTGGGGCCAGGCCCTTTACCAGGGCTAAGCACCCAGGCTATTTATCCTCTGGCCAGTGCTGGGAGGCAGACACTATTATTTATTCCCATTTTATAGATGAGGAAACTGAGGCTCAGAGAGGAAACTGCCTTGCCACGTTCACACAGGTTGGAAGGATCTATGCCGGATTTGCGCCTAGATCTTTCTGGTTCCAGAGCTGGAGGTGGTCTTGTCTTTGGGACATCCAGTTCAGGGGCTTGGCCTCTGCCTCAGGAGCACACAGTTCCTGGGCTTTGAAAAGGTGATGGGGTTGGGGAGCAGCCCGGGGCAGGGCAGTGGTCCTCGTGGGGCCACGCGACACTCCACCTAGTACAGCTTCAACTTGTTTGCTATCTCTGGTGTGTTTTTGCCTTGCGCTCCTCACCTGGCCCTCAGGCCTAAAAGCCCGCCAGCCAGCAGGCCTGGGGGAGTGAAGCCTGTTTTGTAGAAGATACAGAAGCCAGGAGAGGGGAGGTGACATGCCCAAGGTCACACAGTGATTGGATGGCAGGGGCAGGTGAGCACCTGCTGAGCTGACAACAGGCAGTGCCCAGCGGCTGCCTCCTCGCTCTAGCTGAGCTGACCACAAGCTTCCAGGCCTCAGCTGGAGCTGCAGCCTGATACTGGCTGTGTGGCTCCAAGACACACAAGGAAGTGGGGTGGCAGGCTGACCTCAGCCAGCTGCTGCCCCCTCTCCTCTGAGGCTGGGACCGATGGGGCCCTTCCCTCCAGGAGGGGTTTCCAGGCCTCCTCTTTTCCCCTACCTCCCTGGAGAGGAGAACTGCCCACCCCTCCAGATATGCCCCGGAGATGTCGGAGGGATGCCTAAATCTGCAGAGACACGCCCGCAACAAAATCTGCTCAGAGACAAACGGACATGTTGCTGATGTGACTCTCACTTGGTGAATGGCAACAACAGAGTCCTGCACTTGGGTCTGTGCAATTGGGCACACCAGAGACCGCTGAGCCCCGCCCGCAGTACGGGGGACTGTGTGTGTACACAGCAGGTATAAATGTGGGCACACCAGAGACCACTGACCCCGCCCGCAGTACGGGGGACTGTGTGTGTACACAGCAGGTATAAATGTGGGCACACCAGAGACCGCTGACCCCGCCCGCAGTACGGGGGACTGCATATGTACACAGGCACACATGGGCACACCACAGACTGCTGACCCCCGCCCGCAGTACGGGGGACTGCATATGTACACAGCAGGTACAAATATGGGCACACGACAAAACGCCCACACAGGATAAAGATGCAGGAAGAACAGGGCACTCCAACAGGTCTACATGCACAAACACATGTGCTCTATGACCCGCACACACAGCACACATGTACCAACATCCACAGATACACATACACACACATAGTCACTTACATACATAAGCAAGATCAACACGGGCACCTCCTAGAGACACAAACACGGACCCACTCAATGAAGACAAAGGAAAATAGACCCAGAACTCACACACAGAGAAAAAATGAACACACATAGCAAATGTGTTCCTGAAAGCATCACCCCACCCATACAACCTACATGGAAACTCACCATCACATACGAACGCACACACCACACACACAGTGCTGAGTTGGCTTCGTAGTTAGCAAGACTTCCCTGAGAACTCCGTTTTCCCTAGGAAAGTCCCAAAGACACCAAGAAATGCAGTTATGTCTCCAACCACCATCTCCAGGGTTACAATGTCCCTCGCTGTCTCTCTGAACCTAGGCCCAAGGGGTTCAGAAGCGGCCGTGCTGGCCTGAATTGCTGGAGCTGGGCACCGAGGGGGAGCTCACCATCACGTCACTGCGCCAAGCGCCAAGCAGAGCCGCTGTGAGGCAGTGAGGAATGGAAGGGCCTGGGAGGAATAGCCGGGATCGACTTTTGCTGGAAATTGGCCCTTGCAGGCCTCCCTTCACCCGGAATGCCTGTGATCACCGCACCTGGGCACATGGGCTTCACCTGGCAACACCTGTGCTGGTCTGTAGGACCAACCTACCGTTTTCTATCATTCTCCTCCCACCCCAAAGTTGAGTGCCAAAGATCTGCTCCTGGACCCAGGCACACCTGCCCCCACTGACACACCTGCCCCCACCTACCGTTGCCCATCGTCAACACCTGCACATTCTCAAATTCCAGGGTGGTGTAGGCTGGGTCCAGTGCAGCACTGTAGTCGGCCATGTCCATGTCGACGAGGGTTTTGGAGAGTCGCATTCTCCCTGCCTTCACACCGCGGCCACCTGCCCTGCCCTGGGCGCCCACCCGGAAGGCCCCCGCCCTCCGCCCTCCCACTGCCTCCTCCCAGTGCCCTCTCTGCCTTCCTTTCAAACCGTCCTCTGGGAAGATCTGCTGGGAGTCTTGGCCTAGCCTCTGTGAAGGGGTGGAGGCTCTGCCGGGGAGGGGTGGGGGTTAATGGTTAATCGGTCCCCCGCCGGTGGATAGGCAGGGCGGGGCTGCAGGGATTTGGCTGTTTGTTGGTTTCTGGCTGACACCCGGGGTGCTAATTACAACTGTTGAGGCCCTAACTCACCAATGTTCAGTTATCAATTGTACAAGGCAGGCATCATGACTCATGGGCACTCATTTGACCCTTGACTCACCCACCCCTCCAAGCCATTGTCACCCCAAGTCAGGCATTCTAACTGATACTATCAGACACTGACAGCCTACCTCCGAGATCCCCTAATTCAATAACTTCCCAAATCATTGACTTCTACCCTCAATGCTCTTGCAGAGATAAGACCGCCCCATGGCCCATGATTTAGAAACCTAAATCCCAGGCCCCAGATGCCAATCTTCTGGATCCTTGTTCTGGGAGCTCCCTTCCAGTTCCCCTGCAGTTTCCCGGTTCCCCTGGGAGCAGAATGGACTGGAAGTTTGGGAGGGCCAGACTCACCTCCAATTCCCTGCTCCTGCTCCCTATGATCCCACCCTGCCCCTCACCATCTCCCACAGCTCCCAGTGTTTCTGCCCAGGCCGACTCCATCTCGGATTTTCCCGTCACAGTCTCCTGTTTCCCTCACCCCCACCCCCTCCCAGAGCAGGCAGATACCTGGATTTACATTCTGGCGCCTACCATCTACTAACTGGGACCTTGGGTAAATGATTTTCTCTGAGCCTCAGTTTCCTTCTCTGTAAAATGTACAATCAACCTCAAAGGGTGGTCTGAGAAGGAAATGAGATGGCATAAATCACACGCCAAATGGGGCCTCATAGACCTCCACCCTCTTCCTCCTCCCTCTCCCTGTTTTGTATCCCTCTTTCCATCCCCGTTTCTCTCCACCTGTCTCCTACCTTCAGAGTGGGCTTTGTAGGGGTGTTGCCAGTGCAGTCACAGGCAGCCCAACCCTTAGAAAGTCCTGGTGCCTGGTTCATCATGACGTAAAATTCATCATGACTTTTGAACAAGGGGTTGTGCATTTTTGTTTTGGACGGGGCCCTGAAAATTACACAGCTGGGCCTGGCTGTCTGAAGCTCATGGTGCGCTCTGTTCTTCTCTCATTGCCTTCTGTGCAGACATTTTCAAGGGCTGCCAATCAATCTGGGGAAGTAAAGTCTTGATGTAGAAGGCAGAGAGTGAGGGCAGAGGAAGGAAAGCCTGAGACTTGGGAGGCCTGGGAGCCTGTCCTCTGCTGCTGACTGGAAAGGCAGGTTGGAGGGACTCAGTGACACCTGTGAGCAAGAGTGGGTGAATTAGTGGGAGCACCAATTAATGAATGAGTGTGTGGGGGAATTAATGAGTGGGTGAATTAGGAGTGATTGAACGGCCGGGCGCGGTGGCTCAAGCCTGTAATCCCAGCACTTTGGGAGGCCGAGACGGGCGGATCACAAGGTCAGGAGATCAAGACCATCCTGGCTAATATGGTGAAACCCCGTCTCTGCTAAAAAATACAAAAAAACTAGCCGGGTGAGGTGGCGGACGCCTGTAGTCCCAGCTACTCGGGAGGCTGAGGCAGGAGAATGGCGTAAACCCGGGAGGCGGAGCTTGCAGTGAGCTGAGATCCAGCCACTGCACTCCAGCCTGGACGACAGAGCCAGACTCCATCTCAAAAACAAAAAACAAACAAACAAACAAAAAAAAACAAAAAAAAAGGAGTGATTGAATTAGAGACAGGGTGAATTAATGAGTGAGTTGACTGAATGCATGAATTGAGTGAGTGAATGAACGAATGAGTGGGTAAATTACTGAGTAAGTGAGCAAATGGGTGGGTAAATTAATAAGTGAATGGGTGAGTGAATTAATGAGTGAGTGAATGAGCAAATGGGTGAGAGAATTAATGAGTGGGTGAATTAACGAGTGAGAGAATGAGTGAATGTGTGGGTGAATTAATGAGTGAGCAAATCGGGAGTCAGGGCATGTGTTTGAGTGCTTTGAGGAGGCATCTCCATGTTCTTCCCACTGCTAGAAGCCGTTTCTCTGCCCTGCTGAGCTTTATTCTCCCCACTTGATCTGACCTCTGAAGCTGAGACGACTGGGAAGTGCTATATCCTGCAGGGAAAGGGGAGAAGGAGCAACTATTGTGGAGGACAAGAGAGGCTAGATTTGGTGTCAGGAGACCTGGGTTTAGGAACTGGCTCAGTCACTATTCCGATAACTTTATTTCCATCGTCTCTTCTCAGGGCTTCAATTTCTCCCTCTGTAAAATGGAAAGATGATCCTGGCTCAGTTTTCTGTTGGCCAGGACAAGACTCTGAGGCAGGGAGCAAGAGGCAGCCCCCCACAACCCACACTTTGAGATTTGATAAGGGGCTGAAAGAGATCATATACCGGTGGGTTCCTCCCATGCCTACCCCAGGAATATCTGATCTGGCTCCACCGGCCTTGGGGGCAGAGCAGAGGTGGGCAGAAACGGAAGATCTGACTAAGGGGTAAACACAGAAGAGACGTGGAGGGCAACTCCGGGAGGAGCCTCCAGGAGCCGAGCCCAGGCCTCTGCCACCTGCCTGGCACCTATGGCAGGCCACAGGCACAGCTACTCCCCACACAACCCAGCAATCACGGCCTCATCCACTCTGAGGCACACTTCCACATTGCTTAAAGGGAAATGTGATCAATGGCATGTCAGAATTTCACTAGTAACAAAAATAACAAGGCGTTTTTCTATAGATGACATCTTAGATTCAATTAAATAAGGTCTACGATCAACCAGGGTCAACCACACCATGCCACAGCCATGACCCATTATATCCAAGAGCTACTAGGTGGACAGCCTGCAAATGAAGAGCTGTTAGATACACAAACCACGACATACCTGACTTACCAAATGCACAATCTATATGACTGCCTAGGAGGCACGTTCTAGATTCTCATCCCACTACGTTATAACCTGCCCCATAAGTAAATCTGTCCACTCATTACTGTAAATTGTATAATCTATTACATACATGATTCATTCCACCCTTAGCCAACGCCAAACAATATCTTCTAGATACATATTCCTTATATAAATGATGCACCACCTATAAGATCTGCTGGCTCTGTGACCTCAGGCAAGCTATTATTTCTTCTATTCTTGTTGTCCATTGTTACTACATAGTTTATTTAAACCAAGCCATGGCTCTCCTCCCACCGCCCAAGATGCTGAAAGGAAAGAAGGCCAAGGGAAAGAAGGTGGCTCTGGCCCCTGCTGTTGTGAAAAAACAGGAGGCCAAGAAAGTGGTGAATCCCCTGTTTGAGAAAAGGCCTAAGAATTTTGACAATGGACAGGACATCCAGCCCAAAAGAGACCTCACCCGCTTTATGAAATGGCCCCGCTCTATCAGCAGAGAGCCATCCTCTATAAGCTGCTGAAAGTGCCTCCTGCAATTAACCAGCTCACCCAGGCCCTGGACCGCCGGACAGCTACTCAGCTGCTTAAGCTGGCCCACAAGTACAGACCCAAGACAAAGCAAGAGAAGAAGCAGAGGCTCTCGGCCCAGGCCAAGGAGAAAGCTGCTGGCAAAGGGGACATCCCCACTAAGAGACCACCTGTCCTTCGAGCAGGAGTTAACACCGTCACCACCTTGGTGGAGAACAAGAAAACTCAGCTGGTGGTGATTACACACAACACAGATCCCATCAAGCTGGTTGTCTTCTCATCTGCCCTGTGTCGTAAAATGGGGGTTCCTTACTGCATTATCAAGGGGAAGGCAAGACTGGGACGTCTAGTCCACAGGAAGACCTGGACCACTGTCGCCATCACATAAGTGAACTCGGAAGACAAAGTCACTTTGGCTAAGCTGGTGGAAGCTATCAGGACCAATTACAACGACAGATATGATGAGATCCACCGTCACTGGGGCGGCAATGTCCTGGGTCCCAAGTCTGTGGCTCATATCACCAAGCTCAAAAAGGCAAAGGCTAAAGAACTTGCCACTAACCTGGGTTAAATGTGCACTGTTGAGTTTTCTGTACATGAAAATAATTAAAATACAAATTTTCCTTCAGCCAGCAAAAACAAACAAACAAACAAACAACAAGCTGTGATAATACAGCTGCCCAGAATCTTTGTGGATTACAGATGCAAAGTAGCCAGAGATGTGTCCTTGCACCCATAGTTCACTAACAGACAAGTCAGTTACATTTACTAAGTACAGAGAACTGAATACACATGACATTGCACATCCATCTTTTTGCTTTGCATTTCCATTTTAAACATATGTATGTTACAACTTTACATTTTAAATATGACTCCATGTATTTTGTGACAATGGCTAAGAATGCAATGATCCCAGGCCCCTGAAAGAAGCACACACTGGTCTGCAATGCAGAATGTTTTCACTGGGGTACCAAACAAACACTTAACACATAACAGACAAAAAATCCTTAAAAATCAGATTAATACAATGTTCTTCATGTTAAATAAGCAGACAGAATGGGAAGTGGAAAGAGAAGACATTGGGGTGCTTTAAATGTACAGTATCTTGAGATCTTGAACGTTTCAGGCCAGGCGTGGTAGCTCACACCTGTAATCCTAGCACCTTGGGAGTCCGAGGCAGGCGGATCGTCTGAAGTCAGGAGTTCAAGACTAGCCTATCCAACGTGGAGAAACCCTGTCTGTACTAAAAATACAAAAATCAAAAATTAGCCAGGCATGGTGGCAAGCCCCTGCAATCCAGGCTACTTGGGAGGTTGAGGCAGGAGAATCGCTTGAACCCGGGAGGTAGAAGCTGCAGTGAGCCGAGATTGTGCCACTGCACTGCTGCCTAGGTGATAGAGCAAGACTCTGTCTTAAAAAAAAAAAAAAGAATGTTTCATTCAAGGGATGAAGAGACGTTGGTTCA